TACTTATCTAATATGCCGACCGTAACCTCGCCTACTCCACTAACGAGTCTAGGGAGTCGCCTACGCCTACTCCCTAACCCTATCAATCTGTTAGTGAATAAATTTTCCAAGGTCGTACAGTACTACAGCCATGTCAGTAAAGAAAAAGAAAATATTTAAACTTTTGAGATACATGATACAACGAAACAATATGATTGGGACGCTCTCAAAGACATATTATTGTATTTTTTTCTTTTCGTACTGTACATTCAGGGATATATGCCATCTTCCGCAAATAATCTTTATTCTACACAAATATAGAACTTAGTGTATTGGATTTTTAAAATAACATTTATGGCTTTGTTTATGCTCAGTCATATGTCGCTACTTGCAACGATTCAATTCGTTTTGATAGTATCAACACACCGTATGTATAGGTACATTTCTGCAACATGTCAATATCACAAATTATTTTTGTAAAAACTGTTCTAACTTTCATCAATTTTATAGATTTACCAAGTTTTTATATCGCATGCTATTGTGAGCAGGCAAATCCTGGGGAATTGGTCTTACTATCCAGCTTCTGCATCGCCAAGGGTTGAATTTCAACGACATGGCAGCCAACAGAAATTTCATGGTTGCCCCCCCTACTTGCCACGGTGCTTCCCAAAACCGGCCGATATCTCACAGATATAAAGCGCCTGGCACCCTACCTGGATTTCTCCCACTCTTCCATAAACTTCCACTGTTGTGTATGTGCCCATCTCTGCAGCCGTGGCTAACTTCAACAAGGTTTATAAAAAACAACGTGCCTAAGTAGTCATTCATGATAAGGAAATGTGTTTCCCTTGTGCCAGTCAGCAGACAATTGTCGCACGCGCAAGAGAAATAAAAAATTCAACCCTTGCCTTGGCTCCGTGATCTCCACGGAGCACTCCCCAATGACTTCTAAAACATCTGAGATAGCGAAGACGCGCAGCCTAATACAAGAACGTAACATATTCATATAATCTGTAATCTCCACAACCACCACAAATGGTTTCGGCCCCTGATAAACTATCCGCAGCCTACACCGACCTTTTGCAGATCGCCCATCGTGCGAATTCAAACGAGCAAGCGGCCAATTAGCAAGTCATTCTTTATTAAGAAATTGATCCAGCGCTACATTACATAAAAAATTGTGGCACGATCTAGTTTGAGGTAGCAATATCACTTCCCTGTCATAATTCGATCCTATTTTACTTAACGGACCTTCGTTCAATAAACGTGGTTAGCACCATACTTAATTCGCCCTATTTACTGCTGCGAGTTTGAAAGAAAGTACAAAAGTAAGAGAAATGAACTCTAACACTGGATCGCTTGTCGTCTAGCGGTGGTCACGAACGTGACACTGTACTCTCATCGGCTATTGATTGAGGTTCTTTGTGTTCTTGTACCGAGGGCTGCGAAGTATATTCCTCATCTTTCCTGACTTTTCGGCATTCTTTTTTGCTTCTTGGCGAGAGTAACTTGACGGCGTTTCCGCTGTCTAAACTCCAAGGGGCATGATGCGCCGATCTCTCGCATCCGAACCTGTTCTACTTCGTTCACCTATTGCAGTGCACAATAGAAAATAATAGTTACAAGACGCGCTTAACATTATCGACACATTACGTGAATGTAGGTACGTAAGCTCCACTTCATAATCGGCGAGTTGGCATGTGGCGCCACCTACCGGCGCAGACGAGTTCCTCGTTCTGTTTCAGGGAAGGAAAAGACTTGCAACAGGTATGATAGCATCAACAAACACCGTACGTTAAACTATGCTCAGATTTGTCGCATAGCTACAGCTCTCATGCTCTAATTGTCCAAACTACGATTTAACATAGGTCAGAGGGTTACTGGACTCATACAGTTTCAGGACATAGCTAAAGTATGGAAACCCCACCTCCCACCACGTCCTTGTTCGTAACACGATTCGTACGATACATGCTCACCGCATGATACAACACACAACATCGCCCTTCCCCCACCCACCAGGGGGGCCCAGCACACCGTGTAGGTACTGTCTTGCCACGGCTGTGATGTGCAGTCCGCCGATTCCTGCAAGATGAGAAACGTTTGTCCTGCCTCCTTGGCTTGCCTTCACTCCTCCGATGATCGATCCGGCCGTTTCTGCAGCATGTCAGACTCTTTCTCCTGTCGCGGAAGAACAGGTACGTCAAATAAACACTACATTCAACAACAACCACAACAACATGAGCACTCCTCAAACAACCCGAAAAATAAAAAAACAAAAAACAAAAACTTAGAGGATGGACGCATCGCGATAGATAGAAAACGCGAAAAGTATTCGCGAACGGCCCACTGCCGAATCATCAACTAAGCAAACTAACAACAAACAGACAACATCCAACCATCAACAACAACCACAACAAAAAAACAAAACAATAACTTAGAGACGACGATCGAGATTGGATCACATAAGCGAAAATATTCGCTGAGGCCGGCGCATGACAACTTGCGCGAGTGCATGACGAACCTTGCGCGGGTGCAATGACTGACGTGACGTGGCAGTTGTTCGTGCGTCGCAAACATTGCGGAGACGACGAGACGACGAGGTCTGCGCCGAGACAGCGGTCGACGGGCGTGTCCCATGCCGATCATGAACTGGCCGTTGTGATGATCGGCGTGCCTGGCATATCGTGTACGTAAGAGGCGTTGCGACATCGTCTGCATACGCGGTACGGCGACGAGTCAGACGACACTCAGCGAAAGTGTTGGCACGGTCGACAAATTTTTACGCATCTCATAGCAAGTTTCATGCATGGCGGGCGAGTGTTTGAACAGAATTTTTACAGCATGCTCAATAGCAGTTTCATCATGCGGCGGGGTGTGGACGAATTTTTTTCCTGCTCATAGCACCCCGAGCATGCAAGAATTTTTTATTAAATCAATTAAGGCAATTCATCATTAGTGTGCAATTTCTTTAGTAGCATATTAGAAGTTTTAGCAATAGGAGGACATCATGATTCACGATACCTAAATCACGATCTCATTGCATCTCTGAGCCGCATGTACATATATTTTAGCACGACCAACTCAATCTAGACTTAGACTTAGAGACCGACAGGCATAACTATGCATATTGATATGACACTATCGATCCCTGCTATCTGTAACTTTCTCTTCAAATATTATAGTTGTATAATTAGTATGTTTGTAGAGCAAAAAGTAATACTTGAACCTAGAACACATACAGAATGAGAATACGCCTTTATACTTATAGATACTTGTAGATTACTTATAGATGTATTCACCTTGTCACTATATCCAGTGCAGTGGACGCCGACAAGTACAAGAACATAACAGACAGCTATAATATATTAGTGGGAAACTCAATAGGCTGGTGCATGTTGTATGGGTTCGATTCTATAGACACACTTACCAGTTCCTTCAGGATAGATAATAGATCTAACTGTATAGCAGTTCACTCTGCAACTCTACCAACAGGAAATCTGCAAATTAAACTAGTGAAGGGCTACACAAGAAGAAATAGATATGCCCAGAGGCTTCTATAGCCATGCTACCTGGTCGAAAATTAGCTCTGACCCTAGCACTCCTCCGCAGTTTAATGAATGCAGACACCGATATATGCCTAAGTCCCGCCCACAAAAACGGAGGGGTAATATAGGATCAAAGCAAAGTTAGACTACATGCTAATATGAACATATATTAGTTAGCTACGGCCAGGGAGTAAAAAGTAGATACTCCGTGTGTGTATATATGTACGGTGGTAGTACTCCTGTATTGGGTTACATCAAGAGCGTATTAAGTATCAAGTTAGTATTAAGTATGAATCAAGCGCGTATTAAGTATATAAGCATACTTACCACGGCTCATAGGGTCTATGTCCCCCAGGGTACTGCCGGAACGTACCCTGGTCACTATTTGATATGGTTAGGG